CCCCCTCTCCTCTGCATTTACTTCCTTTATTATGTATTTCTCCCAGTGACACCACCTCACTGTCATACATAGTAGTTAGAGCCTTGGAGTTAACTCATAAAACTGTTTTATGTTCCTGAAAGTAGGTGGTGTTGTAGTTATTATAGTTACTGATAGTTAATTAGGACTAATAGAATCCAAATACACTGTAACAGGCTTTCAGTGTGATCAGTGATACAAAAATACATATGACCTAATGGGCTAAACATGCATTTTAGCTTTAAACTTCATACTCTTAAGTTGTCATAATCATGCTAGCATCTGTTAACAGATACAAAGACTGATTTGTCACTATAGACCATAAATGCACTGTGCAGAATATATTTGTTGCAAGCTGATTTTTACATTTAAGCATTTACAATAGACTCCAGTACTGAAGTTGCTGCTGCCTGAAATTGGAATAGAGGGAAAAGTTGACTTACATTTGCTTTGTCCTACTATAAATATTCTATATTGAACATGTGAATGTGGAGCATAACCTAGTTGCAGTGATTTGCAGATTAAATGACTCTTCAAGCTGAGCAGTTCTGGGAAACTTAACCCAAGAGGTGCCTGCACATCATCATCCTGTCATCCTACACCTCTGTGACATTAGAGGTCTGAAAGGTAGTACAAGTCAGAACAGTGGACACATTGATTGGTGGAGTCTGACACTATTACACCCACCCACTTGCACACATACACACACACCCACACCCTAGCAGTCTGGGTGCTCTGAGCCTACTGCTTTAATGGAATGAACCGTCTTTTATAGGCGGCAAAGAGTTCCCCACTGCTAAGGCCCTAAGTGCAGATGGTTTATTGAGACACTGTAAAAGCCATGGAACCTCATGAGGCAACACCTCCTGCACACATACACAAAACCCCAAATTTGTGTTAATGTTGGCCCAAGGATGGAGCCATTTGTCCAGAACTCCGTTTATAATGGGACACGCTGAATTTTCTACTTAGCGCCACCTTTATCACTAACAACCACGCTGACAGAAACGGAGAAAAAGAGTGAGAGATAGATGTGTGTTTGAGATTTTATGATCAGAATTACTTCCTGAATAAAGCAGGGCCTCTTGTTTAAAAAGGAATCTTTTTCTTAATTAGAAGAAAGTAGCAGAGTATAAATAAAGTCTTCCAACGGGTTGTTTTGTAGACGCTGAAGTAATATTTGAATAGATTTCCAACAGAAAGCGGTTTTATCAACAGGTTAATAAAAACTCACAATTTGTACCCATTATCATGAGGTGAAAACTCTGCTGATAGGAGATCAAATGGAAAAAAAAGAGCGAGAGAGATGACTGAAAACTCTAGGAAGAACCACACACTCCACCTTGAAAATGGCAACTGAGCGGAAGATATGGGCAGTGTATTTTTAGCAACTGTGGCAGCAAGTGCACAAACTTTTTTTTCTTCTTCTTTCTTTCTCTTTTTTCCTCTTTCCATGCGAGGCAGCCTTGACGCACGACATCAACCTGTACTGTTACACACATCAGTGTTGATTCATAGCCGCTTTGGTCTGGCGTAAAAGGCAAGACGAGCGCTTCTGTCGAGACGGGCGACGGTTAGGGAAGAGACAGCGCTGAGGCAAAGCTTCTTTGATAGTTTTTGTTGTCTTTTTTTATTTTTTGCACTTTTTCAGTTTTTTTTTTCTCCTACACCTCCGCCTCCACCGTTTGACTTTCAAGGCTTTTTCTCGGTCTGACACCACGTCTGGATTTTTTTTTTTTTTTTTTTTGGTCGTGTTTCTCTGTAATGATGACACTTTACAAAGTCCCAAAACCCTTAACCTCAGCCCCTCCACCCTTCCTCCTCCTCCTCCACCGCTGCCGCCATCATCCTTCAGCTCGCTTCATAAAAGGCAGAATATCAGGGAGATGAAGCAAGAGAGTGGAGAGGCTTTTTGGGATGCACAGCGTGTCGTGGATGTGGAGCATTTCAGACATTGCTGCTGCTGCTGCCGCCTCCTCCCTCCCCTCTGCTTTCCACTCTGTCTCTCACTCTCTGCCTGTCTATCTGCCCGTCTGTCTGTCTCTCTGTGCTTGTTGTACGGAGGACTTGGCAGCTCGCCAGTCTGGGCTGCCTGCCACCACTGAGGGTACAGTATGTACAGTCTACCTTGTGCCAGCTATTTATTTTTTTCTTCTCGTCTTGTTCTGTCTCAGTCCGTTCCACGTTGTTGTTTTCTTTTCTTTTTTTCCTTTTTTCTAATCTCGGCCTGACGTTTACTGTTTGACAGCCTTTGCTGAGCCAAGGCCTGCAGATGGAGGCTTGAACAGGGTGGGGAACTCTGACTCAGCCACTTTTGGGCGCATTTAAAGGACCATAATGTTATTGTTCATGAAATTGTAGCAGCACCTTTTATAGTATCAATGCCTCAACTTAAAAGTACTGCTGAACTTTTGCAGTAAATTAGTTCATCAATAGACCATCAATGTATTAAATCTGTCATCTCATATGCTGCCCCCAGTCCCCCCCCCCATTGAGCCTGAGATTCTTGGACTCAGTCTCAGTGGTCTCTTAAAAAACCAAATACCGAACAAAGGTTTACTTATTTAACCTACATTTACTCGCATGCATCCAAATCTACTGTCCCATTAACGAAAATGTGCAATTAGTCAAAAGCAGATTCATCATTTCATTAATCAGCTGCCCATTTCTGGTTTCAGTGATTGTTCCACTTTTAAGATTAAAATTATTTTATTTTTATTTTTAATACATTCAGTTTACTTTTTTTTTTTCATTGATAACTGGTTGATTTTACTACACAGTTAAAGTAATTAGCTTTTACATTTGATTTATGTATTTCTTATAAATTATGTTACATTAAAAAAAAGTAGCAGCATCAGTAGTAGTGGAGAAAATGCAATACAGTGATGCACAGCAGTTTCTTTAAACAGGTAAGCCCATTTAAAAATGGTATCGTTTCTACTAATTACCCCTCAAAAAAACAAAAAAACAAGACAGTGAAAATGCATTGCATTGTTTCAACCATGTCAAAAAAAGTCTGGCTTTCAGACAGCACCCAGTTGTGTGCGCATGTGCATGTGTGAGTATTGTCACACACCAACCAAGACCAGACCAGACTGATATGATTCACAGTTTGTTTTCCAAGTGAGATTGCAGTATAATAAGATTACCAAAAAGACTCTTCCTGAGCACCCATATTGCCATCTCTGTTACCACCAACTTTTCATCTCACTGCCTTTATAGCTTAAGAGACTTAATCTTCACTTTATGTTATGTGTACATAGTAGAGAGCTCCTGGATTAGCCGGCCGAGTATGTGTATGAGAGAGAGGGGAAGAAAGACTTGATGCACATCGTAAAAAAAAATCCATCTTTATTTAACCAGTAGCTGTCTGTGAAGTGTTTTGCTAAAGGGCACAATGTGAAGATGTATGAATGGAGAGATGGTATCAGTAATATGTTTCTTGCTAGTAAGAGAATCAGGAAAACCACGCTGCATGTTTACTTCTTGTAAGTGCCTGTTACCTCTGTCTGTTTCCTTTAAATCAATGTTTATCCATGATTACGATACAGTATGTAGTCTTTTTGTTAACAGAAAATGGAGGTCTTTCAGGTTAAATTTGTTTTCGCCATTTCTCAACTTGAATCTATTATGGTACTTCATAGAAGAGAACTACATAGCGTACACTATGTATTTACTAGTTATCTTCCAACAGAGCAGTGTCTCCAATCAAACACAGTATGTTGTGCACTTATTGGAAATGGGATAATTGCATTCGGCTGTGATTGACACGCCAGCTGCTGCTTTATATAAATATTTACAACTTGTCCAGCCTCCGACTACACATTTTAAAGGCTTCTGTGTTAAAGATGACAATTTAATACTAACAA